CCGGATAAGTCCCAGCTCATTCAGTGAGACAAAAAAATGACTAAGAGGAATGCATCCTTTCTGCATAGGAAGTGGCCAACTATAAAGAAATAAAAAAAATCCCTTTTCACCTTAATCTACTAAGTAATCATAGTTGTAGAATAAAAGGAATATATAAAAAAATCCCAATAACTTTCCTATAGATAAAAAATGAACACATGGTATTTTAAGTTATAAACAAAAACTCCAACTACTATAAAATCCAAAAGTGATAAACTAGATGGATAAAACCTTAATGGAATTCATACAAGACACCTAAGAGGAAATTAAAAAGCAATGAATGAAAAAATATTAAATTAATGATCATTCTCCATTTATGGATATAAAAACTCTGTATATTCAAAATATTAGATTCACCAAGTGAAATTGTAGATTCAGCACAATAGTAATCAAAATATTATTAAATTTTGTGGATATCAACAAACCAATTTACCATAAACTTAAGAGTTGTTAAAAAAACACAGGAAACCAATATGTTATTTTAAAAGCAAGAAAAAAGTGGGAGAAGGTTATGCTTGATTTAATATTTATTATAAAGCTACTATAAGAAGATCAGAACTTTTTTATAAAATAAAGACTTATAGATCAACTGATCAAAACAAGAAACTATAAATAAACATGTGTCAATAATCATGTGGTTTTAATCAATAATCGCCTTATATATGCAAAATAATGCATCTAGACACCTAAGTTCTTCCAGAAATTAAGTCAAAAACAAATTTCAAAGCCTCCATATGCATGTCAACTTATAAAATTCATAAAACCTTTGTCTCAGTGTACATAGGGGGTATTTGGAGCGTATTTGAACTTCCTTCCCTATTGTTTTAATAAAATATTCTGGAAAAAGCAACTTCAGGAGGAAAAGGACATATTCTGGCTCACAGGCCACGGTGCAGAAATCAAGAGAGCAGTAGCTTGAAGTAGGTTATTGGATCACATTCATAAGCAAGAAGCAAACTGGTAAATGAATATACACAACTGTTTCCTTTCCTTTCTTCGTTTATACAGTTAAGGGTCTGGGATGCTGCCACCCATAGTAAATCCAGAAAAAGCCTTTCCATTTCTTTTGAGCCTGATCCATATGTGTAAAGTTTTTCCACAGTTCCACGATTTGCTAGATCTTGAAGTCCTTGACAGTTCAGTACCATGTCAAAACAAAGGGCTTTCTCAGCCTACACCTGACACTTTTCATTTCTTCAACTAGGTGTATAGTCTCTGAACATCACAGATCCTCCTGTCTCTATATCCTATCTCCGCAATGTGGTTACAGAGTTTATGACACCACTTGATTCTTACACAGGTGCTGGGTGTGTGAACTCAAGTCCCAAAGCTTATGCAGTAAGCTCTTTTATCCAACAAATCATCTCCTTGTCTCCAGTATTCCTTACTTTGAAGTAGGGTATAATGAAATAAGATCAATACAAGTAAATGGACAGAGCTGAACCCTAATCTCATAACTGCTGTCTTCATAAAATAAAACCAATTTGTATGGAGAGAGAGAAAGAGAAAATGAGAGATAGAATGAGAGAGGGAGAACATGAATGAAGAGAAAAATATTGGTGTAATGTATCCAGAACTTCGAAAGAATAAATTTCTATGGCTTCAAGCTATTTAACTCATAATACTTTGTTATGGCATCCCTAAAAAATGAAGACAATAAGTGAAGCTAAATTGCTTCTATAGACATTATGATTGACTTGCCATTCATGTTGATGCCTTAGGCAAATGAACTAAAAGTTCTGTCACTGTGTTTGAGGGTGACAAAAGAAGATACTGTTGGCAGCATAATGAATTACAAAAAAGTAAACTTTTTGCTTAGATGGATCAAGAGTAAACTCTCTCTCTCTCTTTCTCTCTCTCTGTCTGTCTCTGTCTCTCTCTCATGTGTGTGTATCCCTTTTCCCTCCATCCTCTCTTTCTCCTAATAATTACTTTAATTAGATTATAATACTAAGTTTTACATAGTTTAATTTAACACATTCTTAATTTTTGTTGACTCTCTCTTCCATGTAATCTCCCTCATGCCCTTTTCTCTTCCCATTTTAATTTTCTATCCTGAAAGGTCTATTCTTTCTTTTTACATCCCATTTAGATAGGAACAGAACAGATGATGAACTAGTGATTTACAAGATCCTTTGACTGCCTGAGCTCATTATTAATGACTAGTTCTTAGTTACCGAGATACCTTTACTTCACAGTAAAATACTCAAAGGTGAGCTTCTCATAAGCACACAGTTCACATTAATTTCCCAAAATGCCATATGCTCAGTTGATTTGGTCTGCAATCTGGAACTAAGGCTGTAATGGTCCCTGCTGAGTAAAACATCAATAAGAACAGACATTTGTTGGTGCAAAACTGAAGAATTCTTGTACATGGCACTCAGAGATTTAGTCTGAAATAACAGTGAGTTTGTTTTAGCATATAAAAAATCTTGGCAACTCTTGTGTGTTTTAAAAAATCATTTCTTGGCTTTGTGATTGTGTTATCTTCCAGAAGATGCCAAGTAACGTTTTTGTAACACAAGGGATCAAACCCAGCTTATAAAACGGGGAAAATGGTATACATTATAGACAGGCCACTATGAGATTTTTTATGTTTTGAGTGGTTGTTACATTATAGATTATGTCCTATTTTGAGTGAAAGTGGTCCACACAGTTACATATATTTGAATAACTGGTTCCCAGTTGATGGAACTGCTTGTGAAGGATTAGGAGTTGTGACCTTGCTAGAAGAGGTATTTCACTATTGCTTTGAGGTTACATAGTCTACACCATTCCTAGTTAGACATCTACCTCTCAGATTGTGGATCAAAATGTAAACTCTCAGCTATTGTTCCAATGTCATACCTGATGTCATGCTCGGCATCGTGATGGTCTTGGGCTCTAACTCCTGAAATTGCAATGTGA